TCTAGGTGCTGACTATTGGAATCGCCAGGATCCCACCTTCGTCGCCAGTTTGAGGATCGACGGAAAGACGAGACGAGAGCCAGGACTGCCAGAACAAGAGGTTTATTTCAAAGAAAAACTACTTACAGGAGATTCCGCACCATCCCTGCTTGACAGCTATTTAAACGGGCTGTCAAGCAGGGATAACCAATCAGCACGCCTTCTGCAGCTAGCAACGAATGACGCTGCGCCCTAGCCAATCAGGGCGTTGCCTGGCCTGTTGCCAGCCGCCAGGTCGTAAGTCAAGGACTTTCCGAGTCCTCAACACATTCCCCCCAAATAGCTGAATGCTCCCCACCACCCACATCCTGATTTTTTAGGAAATCTGTCAGACATGGGATGATCTGCTCCATCAACCAGAAGAAGCTTGTTCTGCTTGATGCTGGTTGAAAGGATTAGAATCTTTGGCTCTACATTGCTGTGCCTCATTAATTTTCATGAATGGAGGTTACTGTTTTATTGTAAAGGTTATTGCTTTTAATCTAATTTACAGTGGTTGGCCTGCATGCTACTCAGAACTTTGAGTGGTTTATAAGGCCAGTTATTTATTTAAAATATTTATGCAGCCACCCATCTTATGACAAACTCTGGATTGCTCCCAATCAGTTAAAGAAACAAAGAAAAACATATTAGTAAGACTCAAAGGAATCTGCCCCTATTATTTCCATTTCTGATTAAAAGAATGCAAGGACAATGACAGAGGTTTAACAATCATTGTTCTGTGGGGTGAGTAAATCATTTTGTGTCATCTTGACTGAATGTGCAGATTAAAGTGAAAGCGAGAGAGCAAAATGATTATTTCCAGAAGAGATAGATAATTTCATTTCCTAATAACTACTGGAATAATTGCTGCCCTTATAGGCACATTATGTTTACATGCCTCATTTATTCAAAAAGCATTTAGAAACAGCAGATTAAAGCTTTGGACTTAGGCATTCAGAACCCAATAAAATTTTAGAAACCATACTTACATCACTAAAGCTGCCACGCTTCCAAGTCAAAGCAAAGAGTAAAGTTCATTGAATTTAGCTGCTAAATAACAGTGCTTAAATTGCACTTTGAGTTGGTTAAGTACCCTCCAAAATAAGTATGGCTTCCAAGGTCCTTCTAAATTAAGTTTGCAGATGAGATCTGGCAGACTAAGGTCAGGTATCTTTTAGGATTGTTTTGATTTTGAGCAAGTGGCACTACTACCTTGCAACAATAAATTCCAACTTAATAGTGAGAGTGTTGGTGCATAATTTTGACTTTTATGCAAACCACAGAGAGTGGAAGAACTTGAGAGAACCGTTTTTGTTTCTTGTTAACTCTTCATGCTTCATGCTTAACTCTTCATGAAGAAGTTTCTTTTTCTTCCAATTAAAACGGGCACAAAACTGAAAGTTCTTGGTGAAAGTATACCAGGTCTGAAGAAATGGATGAAATGACTCTGAGGGCTGGTTTCATTTGGCTCTTGAACTGTTAATTCACAGCGGCAAACAATTCCACCGAGAATTCATTGCAATTACTTTATTTTCTGCATGTTAAGAAACTGGTTTAATTTTTTACTTGTATGTTTACATTGTGGGTTGAAAGTTATTATTAAACAGATCTAGAGTAGAACAATGAATTAGTTACCATCTACCAGAAACTATGCATTTTCAAGAGAATGGCTATTTTTGCAATAACAAAAGGAAATACGTGTTGTAGCGATAAGCATTTTTTAAAATTTAAGCTTTTTAAGAGTTTGAGGGAATAATTTTAAATTTAAAACAAGCAAAAATATTGTGGATCCAATAACAAATAATGCATAAATATTTTAATCCAGTACATCAATACACTGTGGCAAAATGTTATCTCTTTCTATATGAAAACAAAGCCAAGTGCAATAAAGCTTTTTGTTGTTTTATGTATATTGTATTTCTATATATAGTAGCATGAATTAGGGTGTATTTATAACTTTATATAGTCTACACAATGGTAGCAGACTAAGGCAATAATGAAGATATGAGTCAGCTGTTACAATGTGAAAAGATTGTAATATATTTTCCTGAAAAAGGCATAGAAATTCCCTAACCTTTGAAAAAGGGCATGCCCATTCACAGCAGTTCAGAATAGTAAGTCACCAGAACTAAAATATAAAGGAAACAGCATAGTAAGCCTCTTTTTCCCCTCTTACCATGTCCCTCCTTCCCTCCAATGCCACATGCTGAATTCACTGTGGCTGTTGCAAAGGGAAAAAGAAATCGAGACAACTGAAAGACACTTGTGAAGTCATTTTTATTTATATATGTAGAAAATGGGGGTTTCCTGAACGACTCTTTTGTCCTTCATGCTAAATTGACAACAAACTAAAAAAAAAGGGGGGGGGGAATTACTCATTTCCAAGCAAATAATTCTCTTTGGTTTTATTTTTTTCACTATAAAACCACACTTTTGCAAAAGAGTTGTAATGAAGTAGAGGTGGTTCTGTTTATTCTCCTCATTCATTTTTGATCTTAACAGAGCATATTGCATGTCTAAGACAAATAATTCATAAACCTGAGAATGTTCACCTCATTTTAAAGTATACTTCAGGAGATAAAACACATACACACACACATACAAGTCAGCTCGATTGTATAGGCAGTTTGTGCTCAAGGCTCAAAAATAAAATACTGAAGATATTAATGGGCCTTTGCTGGCCAGTGTTTTGATTTGGACAGCCTCCTACTCTTTCGTTTTCTTGATTACTGTGCCCACTTCTTTTCTCCACATACCTATTTCAACTCATACATATGCCTTGAATTATTCTTTCCTATGCTTCATTATAGACTCTGAACTTGCTTAGCAAATAAGATAGATAAATTAAGTGCATGTAAATCCCAAGTGCACCTATGGAAATGCCAGGATCTGGCCAGGCTGGGTCCCAAACATTTAGAAATTTTTAAACAGAATCAAATCGGAATTATTTATGTAAAACATATTCCAACTGTAGAATTGGTATTTGGGGTTACAAAATCTGCAGATACTAGATCTGTTACATCTGCCCATGGATTTATAGTAAATTGAGTAAAATACTAACTTGATTTGTAAGCCAGCAGTGGAAGATATGCCTGCAAATAAAAATCTCTCCTGTTGCAGCTATGGCAGATGAAAGCAATTATTACATTCATGGAAAGTCCAAATGTTATTGCTGGCCACAGAAGAACAAAACACATGGCTGTGAGATTTGGATTAGAAATTCTGAAGATTGTGGTACATATAAGCAGGATCACTTGATCTTTCAACCTTTCTACATTTTTTTTTGTGCCCAACAAAAGCAAGATTCTCTCCAAGGCTGTGTGATTACCCTAATTTATATGTACCTTTAACAGTGGGGGAAAATGTAAATACTGTATGTTCCTTGTCTTCTAAATTCAAATACCAGAAATATACAAAAATTCTGCTCACAATATGAAACATTTGGAAAGTGAAATGTATACATGACTGCTTGTTGGTTTTCCTTTAAAAATAGGCAATGGTATTTTTTTTTAAAGATTCATATAACATTCTTTCCATTGCCTAAAATATTATCTATTCTAGTTTAGAAATTATGGATTTCCAATACTCCACTGCATTCCCTGAACAAAGAATATTCTGGCAGCTCTTAATACTCTGGCAAGAATAAATACCATTTTTCTTTTCCAAATATCAGATTATAAAATTGTTCAATACATTTTGAAATAGTAACTCATGCAAATACCATATTGGGTCAGCTTTGTTATTACAAATACTGCAGTGGCTTAGTGCCATATTAGATCCCTTTTCATAAAAAAAGAAAAAAAGAGAAATGTTTATACCCCTAGAACTGACAAACAGCTTTGGAGAAAATAATTTGTACAACCAAATCTCTATGATCCTGTTTTTCCAATTTACACATACAGAAATTGCGCTCACGCATCTCTAATTCCTCTGTTGTGAGTTCGCAATCTACACTTCAACTAAAGATGCGCCATTATTTTTTAGTTTTGAAAACATAATTGGAACAGCACAAATAATCCTTTGGCCCCAAACTCTGTCTCTGATTCCTCTCTCTGCTACCTTCTACAACTTTCCTTTTCTGGAAATGCAAAACAATCCTCCTCATGCTTTAATAATACTAAGGTAAGACATTTATATAGTATAAATATAGTTAAAGATATAACTATTTTTCTTTCATATTCTTCTATTTATCAATCTGCTGAATATCAATTATTGCTATAGTAAAAAATACTCAAAACATTTTCAAACCTCTGATTACCTTCCTAACTCAGTGATTGTTTCTTATTGATTTTATTATATATTCCCTCTTTTGGTATCTAATACTTGTAGCCTATTAAGCACAAATGATAATACAAATACACATTGAGGCCAACCTCATAACTGCAAGCATACAAACCACTAGAATTAAGATATTCCCATTTGGCATTTCTTTCTATATCTTCTAACTTATCTATAGAATGTGCAGCAATATTAAAGGAATTGTATGAAGCATACTGATTATGGGGAGAACAAAAAAAAAATCAGGATGGCAAATTTGCAACAACACATACAAGAAAAACATAAACCATCTGCCATCTCTCCATACTTTCCAAAGTATTAGTAAAAACAATACGTTGCATTTATGGCTAAATATATGGATTGTACATTCACATTTGCAAATTAACAGCCTCTTTAAAAAGAAACAGTTACATAGACTCCAAGAACCTCTCCGGGTTCTTTCAAAATAGCAAAAATCAAGCGTCCCACCCCCACCCCCTCGCTATGTTATACCTAGGATATAACAGAATAATAGGCCCCTTAGAAATGCCACTTATGTGTTGTAAAACCCAAGCAGGAAGAAAGTTGAAATTGTTCATATCCAGAAGTGCCATCTTGTGGTCAAAAGGTATATAATCCAGATTCTTCCTCTTCCAAAAGTTAAGTGAAGCAAACATTGCGAAGGATACCATGGTTCATTCTACTCACTCGGAAATGTATTCTCTTGGATGATCACTGCTGTAGTTTCTTATAACTATGATGATGACAACTCCATGACTATTATTTGCTTCTTCAGTTGTTTCAGAGAGGACAGCAGATGCATGTCTTATTCTTTGTTGTGTTTGTGCATGTATGCATGTAATATATATGAACTGATCCTGCTCTAATATGTATTGTAGAGACTTGTTTGTTTGTAATAAATACCAGATTAAAATGCTGCAGCTTTTGTTAAACATTAAAACTCCCCCGCCCCTTTCTTATTTGGTTTCCTGGTCTCTGCAATAAAAAAAAAAGTTCTGAGATTTTGCCAAAAAGTCTATTCATTTTCTTCCCGGTTAGCATATATGCCAGCTTCCCACCGCAATGCTAGAGTACTCTTCCGACGATTAACTCTAGTAGCCTCAAGGACCTGGGAAGGGAGAGGAGGAAAAGAAAGAAAACATCATTTATTTTCTTACCCTTGTCCATTATAGACAAACTACAAAGACAGCCAATGAAAAGTTACACAATTCAAATGTTTCCAATGGCATACCTCGCCACCTTTTGCATTTTTTCACTCATTGAGAAAAAAAAAATATCAGCATAGCTGCAGCCAAAACCGAATTAAATGTTTAACTGAAACAGTGATTGCAAAACATCCAGCTGTGATGCTTAAGTTTAAGCACATCAATGAAAACACCACCACATGCAGAGAAAACATAAAAATAGCCGGTGAAGCATAATCTGAGCGCAAAAGATATGTGGCAGTACAGTTGCTATAGCCTGTTCAATAGAAAACTATACCCAAAAATCTAACCAAAGCTAAGGACTTTTTCCTTTATTTTCTTCTCTCTGAGCCACTCATCCCAAGTGCTTATGTAAATCATTTTGCAAAAAAATGGCGATAATAACAATCAATAGCTGTGGAGAAAAACTGTTAACTATTATACCTTTATGCACTTTAGATGAGAGATGGAAATTTCCTAGTGGTATTAATCTCCACCTTTCTGCTGTGTATCTCAAGCAGAGTTGTATTACAGAAGTGACTTGGGTACTTAGTGTATACTTTTGCCACATGTACTGTATCTTATAACACAAAATTTCCATCTCCCAGTGACTGACACAGATAAGAGTGAGACCGCCACTTCAGGAAGACTGCTACTTAAGTTGCAAGAATTGTTGCAAAAAAATTCAATTAATCAAAAGAACAAGCTAAAATGTTTGTATGGGTTTAAGATACTTTTGAAAAGTTATGATAGGTTTGGTAGTACAAAATGACTTGCATCTCACAAGGGTTGATAAAATATGTTTCACCAAAGGAAGGCAAGCTTGTTCAGATTTAAACTAAATGCTATGTAGAAATCACAGACAAACATCATTTCAGGCAGGTTAAATATATTCACAGCTACATGAAAACCCAAGGGAATAACTTAGTCACATTGTTGAGTGCACTTGGGGATGGGTGGATAAAATAAGTAGAAAAATAGCACTGCTACTGTGATGTCTCAGACTGAATTTCTAATTGAGGAGAAGTAGTAGAAGTAATGCACAGATGCATCATAGAAGTGAGTGAATGAAGCAGAATATTTTGACCATGAATTCTTGGTGAGGAAATTCACTTCCAGGTACTATATATGCTCCTAGTGCTGTCAGTTCAAAGGGCACTGTAATTGCGAGGTCCCTGGGGTTCTCTAAGCTTGGTGGTTTTTGTTTTTGTTTTTTTATGTTTAAATGTTTTATTCATTTTCATTTTCAATTTTGTACATTCACTTATATACTG